GAAGCGATTTGTACGTTCGATCAACCGCAACCAATGAGATATTTTAGGATTTCAGCAATTTAGTTTAAATTGTAACAAACAAGGCAGTAGTGGTTCGTTTAATCAAATTGTCTAGACACAAAGTTGTTTAACTGTGTTGGTAAACATTAGCCATAACATTTTAAATGAAAATTATAGAACCTTTAAGAAACCTAAACATTTGACAATTTTAAGATTGTTTGCCTTCTCGGGTCAGTTGTCTACAAGTACTAACAAGCAAAAATAGTAACTAAAATACTTAGGTAGTACCTACTAACTAGTTACTACTGTGTCTGTATAGCACTATGCAGCATAGGCACCTATTGGATTTGTACTTCGATAGACGAATAAAATTCAATTAAGAGGTATCTACAGGGCTTCAGTAGCAATCACTGGCAATTTCATTTTAAAACTATTTTTATGTTTAAAAATGAAATTCAACATGAAATGTAAAAACCAATTCAAATACTTCAGCGTTTTTCGTGCCTCAAATCTATTCTTCACAATATTTTAAAATTATCTTTTCGATAGACATTTCTATTGAATGCAGAAACCTTTTTAAGGATGTCGTTTTGAAAATAAAATTGTCAAATAACTAAATAAATCGTTCAACATTTTCCAATATCTCATCAAATGCAGCTTTCAGGCACTTAACCTCTGTAGTCTAGTTGGTCCTAGGACTTTAATCAGAAATTGGTTCGATGTTATAAATAAACGCTTTCGTGTTAGTTTGCTAACTTTCTTGCTAATTGCACTAAAGGTTTCAAGATCTGAGTATTTGTCTACAATTCCAGCAATTACATCATTATAATTTATACATAGTGAGTTTTATACTTGTTCAAACAAAAAGGGTGGATGGATATACTTACTACTCGAATACAACTCCTACATTTCCTATTCCTACTTACCTACAAGACCAAATGCAGGACCGATATAAAATTCTCAAAAAAAATTAGGCCCCCATGCAAAATCATCAGCAGTTTGATAATGGTCCTGTAGCAAAAGAAATTGCACTTCAGTAGTAGAATCAACCCTTTTTATTTGATCTATAAAAATTACACCCAGTATAAATCTGAACTAATTTAGAGACCTTTTTATTCTCTGATCCGTGTATTTATAGTCTATCCCACACTTGTTATTCTAAAAACAAAGCGTTAAATTTCTTGGAAATAATTAACTAATTAAAATACAATCTAATTAATGTAGATTCGTTAATAAACAAATTATATTTACCCAGTCACGTCAGGCACGACCACGCCTCTGCTTGGATTAATTTAGAAATACGATAAGATTTGGGTGGATTAAATTGAAGGATTTACCCGTCTTGTCACGATGTAATCCATTTTTTAAATAGGTATAAACTAGTTTTTATATGGAACTAGCGGCCGCCCGCGACTTCGTACGCGTGAATCCCGTATTCCCGTTTTACCTCCTTAGGGGTTGAATTTTGCAAAATCCCGTCTAGTGAGCACCTACGTTCTAAAAGGACCTGCACGTTCTAAAAGCACTTACGTTTTCCATTACCCCAATGCAAAATTTGAGACTCCTAGCACTTGTAGTTACTGAGATTTCGTGATGAGTGAGTGAGTGAATTAGTCAGTTAATCAGTGACTTTTCGCTTTTATAGATATTTTAGGTGTTGTCACCAACTAAGAAAAAATTGTACGAGAAGCAAGAGTTTCCCAGACAGGTACGCAGTTTGACGTTTTTATAGTTTCTGTTCATCGCAATATGAGCGACAGCAACAATAAGTAGTCGCTCAACAGATGCTGCATACTTACATCCAGTCGGGAATCGCACCAGGGACTCCTTCCAGGCGTTCACTATTGCGCCATCACGCTATCCACCACACATTGCTATCTATACCTTACCTGCCTATTTTCTTCAGTGTAAAAATAATATAATAATATAATTGTTGTAGATTTTTCGTAAAAGGTGTATTGGTTATTTTTCTTAATTAGAATCGGTGCACCCGAGTCACAAAGCGTTAGTGCAATAGCATTAAACTAAACTTAATCCTTGACAGTTACAGAACCCATCCACAAAGTAAATTCCTGAAGGGAATAGGGAATTTATGTCCAATCCCCCTGAAGAGTTGCGTTTGAAGTGGCGACGATTGGGGCTGGAACCGGTGACCTTTGCTTGATTACAATCCTGGGATCGGTAATTATTGAACCGATATGTCGGCATGTAATAACCACCTATTCATTCTAATCTATCCGCCTCTTTCACGCACTCTTAAGCTAGCATGAGTGGAAGAGACAGGTAAGTCGATGAATGAAAGTTTTGCCGCGTAGACCGGCCATATCGAAAGGAGACAATAACGGTTTTCCATTTCCCCTTTTAATCTTAGTCAAGCTATCTTGTTACTGCAAATCAATTACTGTCCCTAGTCCCTGCAAGAAATAGTTCTTATGTATTTTAGAAGATGAGCTATTAAATAGATTTACCTAGTAAAACCTAGGTACTGTAAATTATGTATTTGCTTCTATCTTAACTGCTAGTTAAAAATAAATCGAAAAGATTAACGTAGAGTGTTACTTAATTACATTATTTGCCCAATGCTTCCAATTTCAGAAATAAATTGAGTTAAGGAACGCAGCCAATCAAGTCCTTGTTCACACGGGCGAATTACAAATGTAGGTACTGCGTAATAACGTTGTTTACTTTTTAGCTTTACAAATAACGATTTAAATTCCGTACACGAGGGTTCAAAATTATATCAACTGTATAAAAACTTTGGGACAAACCAATCCCTGTCTGCATAAACTTATAGCTTATCCTATGCTTTTAATTATTAGTGCCTACAAATGCCTACCAACTTTTTTAATTTTACTCCCATTATCTTTACTACTGATTAATCATCTGTTTTGTGGGAATTCTTAGATGGCTCAAACTTGGAGTGCAAGTGTGGTTTTGTTCCCCAGTCGACGAAGCATGATGTAGTGCACCGCGCGGCGTGCCCAACCAAACAACTGTAGCACGTAGGAAGATTTGTTTAAGGCTATTGAAAACGCCACTCTTGTGGCGGAGTTTTGGGCTAATTATTTATTATCTCTGAAAGTTACCTAAGCATGTTTACGCAAAACCCCACAAAATCGTATCGATGTTATTATTTATTTTGAGCGCCGAAAGAAAAATGTTACTGTTGGAATCACAAATATAGGAATGAAGTCTTTTGGTTTCTTTTAAGATATTGGTTATTGCATTGATCGCTTATACAGGGTGTCCCAAAAACAATGGATAACCCTGTAACCATCGATAGGCCTCGCCATGGTCTCCCTAACGTCCAATTTTGACTCCAGTAAAAATAACACCGTTTTCAAGATTTTTAAGTTTTTGTGCATTTTTAGAAAATTGCCACCTGCGATTACTTTTTCTCATGCCATTTCTACAAATGAGGATACTTTTCAATCTAGTTTTTTTCCTTATCACAAGGGATAGTTGGGTTATCAAAAGAAAAGATTAAAGTTCAACAAACTAGTTTAAAAGTATGAAAATTTTAAGAAATTGCAGAGAAGAAGGAAAAGTTAATTCATTGTCTTGCACTTTTGATCAGCCATCGTGTAAAAAAAATGTAGGAAGACCATCGTGCCCATTACCTTAAAAACTTCCTTGGTTAATTGAAATTCTAAAAAGGTATCACAAGCCTATGTATTCTGTATCTATGTAATCTTATAGCTACTTGAATAGCAACTACACACACCGGCAGATTTAGAGGAACGGAAAAAAAAGCATCAATATCANGGTACGTAGCCTCCACTTGAGCCCTGTTGCCCCATTGGCCGTCCGTTCTGCGTTTTTGTGATTACTTAATTTTTGTTTTAAACCTTATAAATGTGCCTATAGACAGATACCCGTGATAATACACGGCTCGGAAACGTGGATTTTTTGGACAGCGTGCTATGGAAGGGGCTATGCTCGGGTTTCTTTACGAAATCGTATCAGAAATTATGAGATCCGTAAACGACCTAAAGTCGCTGACATACCTCGACGGATCAGCAAGCTGAAGTGGCAATGGGCAGGGCACAGTAGTTTGCAGAACTGAGGCAGCAGGGTTAAAGTGGAGGCTACGTACCGGAAAGCGTATCGTAGGACGTCCACCTACAAAGTGGACCGACGACCTTATAAAGGTAAGCAGGAAGGTGCTGGATGCAGGCCGCTACCAAGCGGTCATTATGAAAATCATTGGGGTACAGGCCTATGTTCAGCAGTGGACGTCCTATGGCTGAAATGATGATGATGATGATGGTTAAATGTTGCTTTATTAAAATTCCTACGCTAAAAATTATCCATTTGTATTTAATGCCACTATGCAGTCCTAGTTTAACTACATATTACGAGAAAAACTCATTTTTGCAGTTTTCATACCAGTTGCTATTCAAGTAGCCATAAGATAAAAACAATACATAATACATAGATTTTTTAAGGTAATGGGCACGATGGTCTTCCTACATTTTTTTTACACGATGACTGACCAAAAGTGCAAGACAATGAATTATTTTTTCCTTCTTCTCTGCAATTTCTTAAAATTTTCATACTTTTAAACTAGTTTGTTGAACTTTAATATTTTCTTTTGATAGCCCAACTATCCCTTGTGATAAGGAAATAAACTAGATTGAAAAGTATCCTCATTTGTAGAAATGGCATGAGAAAAAGTAATCGCAGGTGGCAATTTTCTAAAAATGCACAAAAACTTGAAAATCTTGAAAACGGTGATATTTTTACTGGGGTCAAAATTGGATGTTAGGGAGGCCATGGCGAGGCCTATCGATGGTTACAGGGTTATCCATTGTTTTTGGGACACCATGTATAATGGAAAAAATACTTGATGAAAAATACGATGTCTGAACTTCATTCAGTCTGCTATTTTCCATTTGCTGAAAAACTGTTATAGTTATTTATTTCTTTGTCAATTCCATAAGCAGTCAATCTGTCAATGTCATTTATTTGTCACTTACTGTCATCTGCTGTCATCAATGTCAAAAACTGAAGAATCTTCTTCGACTCGTCAAACAGGAACTGTATTAAAATTTAATTAATTTAGAAACAAATCAATGTCTTTCAATACCAAAGATGTGGTCCTTAAAGAGGACCGACCTAAGTCACTACTTCTTCAGAAACATTCAGACTATTTAGCAGGTTATGGACTTGACAAAGATGACTTCGAATTTTGTATGACTGAATATCTTCGAATGTCTGGCATATACTGGAGCCTGACTGCCATGGAGCTCATGGGGCAATCCTCAAGGTATGTTTGTGAAACTATCATCAAGTAGCCTAGTTCTAATCGTTGTTATTAAGTATAAAGTTATTGAGAAAATTGCATTCAATTAGGTCCCATTTGCCCACATTTTGCGTATTCTACCGATATAAAACATCTTATCTAAGTAATTACGCATTACAATAGCTTATAAATATAAATAACAATGTTATGTGTAACATTTGCAGGATGCCTAAAGATGAAATCATAGAATTCATCACATCATGTCAAGACAAAGAGAGTGGTGGGGTCTCTGCCAGTATAGGCCACGACCCACACATGCTGTATACCCTGAGCGCTGTGCAGGTGCTAGCCATGTATGACAGGCTGGATGCTATTGACGTGGACGGTGTAGTGAGATATATCACCTCGTTGCAGCAGGATGATGGAAGTTTCTTTGGTAAGTTTTTTGTATTACATAAATCTATTCATTTCAGGTTTGGTCTTCATGATCTGCTTATCGAAGCATACAAGTCATAAAGTATAGTCATTTATATTGCTCCATGCTAGTAACAAAAGATTGTTCAGTCTGTCTTTTGATACAGACCCCCTCCTAATTGGCATTGAACTCTGTAGACTGTAAAACTTGCTCAATTTGGTCCCAGTAGTATTAGATAAATTATCTTACTTTACTTCTGTCATTGCTTCCTCAAATTAAAGCCTTCCACTTATTATTTACTTATTTATTTTATAGGTCTGCCAACATAACTTACTTACATACTCCTCTTTCTTACTTCCAGGTGATAAATGGGGTGAAGTAGACACAAGGTTCTCTTTCTGTGCAGTGATGGCTCTGTCACTGCTAAAACGGCTGGATGCTATCAACACCACCAAAACAGTTGACTTCGTATTGAGTTGTATGAACTTTGATGGGGGCTTTGGCTCAAAACCTGGGTCAGAGAGCCATGCAGGTAAACATTTATGTACCATCATAGACTGCATATCACTTTACATCAAGTGTGATTGTGTTGAAATACCTGCCTTGTTCCAGAATGAAAAAAAAATCTTAAAATTAATTTTAAGATTTTTTTTTCATTCTTAAATCCCCAAATAGTTTAAATTCTCTTAACTAATCTAAACTTTAATCATTCAATGTTAAGGTACTAACCATTAAAAAAATAAAAAAGATCTAGTTTTTCCCCAATAAATCCTCTTTCTCCCTCTTTGATAAGTCAGTCAGTATGCTAAATTAAGTGTTATATTATATTGTCTGGTCTGTTATTTTAGGTCTGATCTACTGCTGTGTGGGAACGTTGTCAATATGCAAACGAATGGACGCACTCAAGGCAGATGAGCTGGCGTGGTGGCTGTGTGAGAGGCAGCTGCCCAGTGGTGGGCTAAATGGACGACCAGAGAAGTTACCAGACTTGTGCTATTCTTGGTGAGTACTATTCCTAAAATTACTACTAGAAATTCAGACCATCCATATTTTAAATTACATTTTTAATTTATTAAGCCTATGACAATACTGATTGAGTGTCAAAAAAATAATAAAGTTTATTACAACAGACAGATACAGTGAATGTACCTACTGTGAATTTTTTAGCTTTATATCAAACCCCAGTGGTTTTTCAAAGCTATCTAAATGTAACTGTCCCAATGTAATTGTATTATTTAGTTGTTAAATTAATGAAAAAAAAATAGTTCATGCATGTTTTTTTTCTTTCAGGTGGGTAATGTCATCACTATCTATGCTGAACAGGATACACTGGGTAGACAAAAAGAGTTTAGAAGAATACATCCTCGCGTGTCAAGACGCTGAGACAGGTGGATTCAGCGACCGCCCTGGCGACATACCAGACCCTTTCCACACCTTGTTTGGGCTTACAGGACTATCCCTACTTGGAAATACTAGCATAAAACTTGTGAACCCTACCTATTGTATGCCACAAGAAACTATCGATAGACTAAAGCTAGAACCACAAGTGCTGCATATTTAATTATAAGCTTTAACATATTTATTTTATTATTATTTTATTTGAATAAAATCACAATTTATACACTGATCTGTCTTTCGAGTTTGTCCTTTACAAAGTTATTGAACAGAATCCATCTAACACGAGACGAGAACTAATTAACTCTATGATATAATTCAAAATTCAAATGCTGTATAGTTTTTAGTGCCTTTGCTACAGATAGCTTTCGAAAATTCTTGTTAATCTGTCACTGTCTCATCTGTGATCTGTCAATAGTGTCAGTTCAAGTAAATAATAAACATAACCTAAAAAAGTTTGTAAAGTTCTTCATTAATGTAATTAAACAGATAAAATATGCTTAATATGTGGATTCTTAACACTTGCCAGTGGTTTATCCTATTCATATGTGTTAATTCATTTTCATGTCTCATTTATTTAATTTATTATGGTCAACTCATAACTTCGAAATGTTTTGATACATTTGAAAACGAATACGACTACATTATCGGTGAGTACTTTTTAAATACTTAATAAATCAACCATGCTTACTTTAAACCTCGTACCTAGTGTCTACCTACAGTTAGGTATACCTTGTTTGTTTGAATTTTGTTTAATCCACCTTGTTTTTCCTTTCAGTGGGTTCTGGTACTGCAGGATCAGTAATCGCCCACAGACTGGCTACAGAGACGAACTTCACCTTCATAGTCTTGGAGGCAGGAGGGAAAGGGAGTCCGCTCTTCGACATTCCCGTACTTGGCCCGATGCTGCATGGATCCATTTATGATTGGCAGCTGGAAACAACACCGCAGGAGAATGCTTGCTTGGCTATGAATAATAAGGTAGGTCATGGTTTTCTTCATGAAATGTTACACTGATTGTGTATCATGGCTCATCATAAGTACTGATACCCTAATTATTATACTTAATAGAAAGAACCTACCTATTTTGCGTTACTGTTCTACAGTAATGTTCTATAAGTTCTTGTCATGAGTGCTCAACTGCTCACAGTATTGTATGCTGTATGCTCTTAAGCATTACATAAAACCCTAAAAGAACTTGTACTTGAATATTCATCAAAATTTTATTAGTTTAAAAAGTTTCACATTCAATGTGATGAACCATACACAGAGCTATAAATAAATGTAACATAATTTTATGTTTATTTCAGAAATGCAAACTGCCACAAGGAAAAATTGTTGGAGGCTCTTCAAAACTAAACAACATGATACATGTAAGAGGAAATATATCTCATTATGTTGAATGGTTTCAAGGCAAATATACTAAGGGATTCATTGAACAACAGTTCCAATTTGTAGAAGATAACATTTTACATTTAGATAATATTCAGTATGAAAGTGAATTAGCTACTGCCATCATAGAAGCTGCAAAAGAGCTAAGGTATAGCACTATAGAGGAATTCAATAAAGGATTTAGAAAAAGCAAAGTGTCACAAAATAAAGGCAAAAGATGGTCCACATCTGATAATTTAGATATTTCTAAACAAATCTTAACAAATGCTTTAGTTGAAAAGGTTATTATTAAGGATGGCATAGCTAATGGAGTCACTGTATTTGTCTCAGATAAAAGTCATAAAATTAATGCTAAGAGAGGTGTTATTCTGTCTGCAGGGGCCTACAATACTCCCAAAATTCTTGAATTATCAGGAATTGGTCCTAAGAGTGTATTGGATCCTTTAAATATTCCAGTTATTAAGGACTTGCCAGTGGGTTTTAATTTACAAGACCATATTGCAACTGGACTTGACTTAGTTCTATTCAACAAGTCTTTAGCTGTGAATCCTATGAATATGCTCAACCCTTTTAATGTTCATGAATATTTTGTAAATGGTAGAGGACCTTTGACCACCCCTGGTTGTGAAGCCATAGGTTTTTTATCCACGAAAAATGATGAAACACCTGATTTACAGTTCATGGTCATGCCTGTAGGCATATCAGCAGATAGAGGTACACATTTAAAGGAATCCTTGGGTATAAACCAAACAGTATGGGAAAATTACTTTGTTAAAGCATTTGATAAACACGCCGCAACGATTTTACCAATAATCTTACATCCAAAAAGCAAAGGACAAGTTTATATCAATAGTAACGACCCCAAAATACCTCCTTGCGTAGACCCTAAGTACTTATCAAATAAAGATGATGTGAAAATTTTAATAGATGGTATCAAATTAGTTATTAAGTTTATTAACACACTGCCTATGAAAGCTTTAGGAGCTCATATAAATCCGATGCATTTCCCTGGTTGTGAAGAATTTGTTATTTTTAGTGATAAATATTGGGAATGCTATGTCAGACATTTGACTCTGACCAGCTATCATCCTGTAGGGACCTGTTCAATGGGGCTCTCTTCATCAAACAGTGTGGTAGATACTAACTTTAAAGTCCATGGTGTAGATAGCCTATTCATTGCTGATGCCTCAGTGTTACCCACTTTGCCAAGTGGAAATATAAATGCTGCCATTGCTATGATGGCAAGTTTGTTCTTTGAAACTGGTATAAAATTATCTAATACTTATCACAGGGTTAATATAAGTTTAGTATGTCACAAATTAGATTATATTTTTGAGAATTTACAAAATGTATGCTTACGTAAACAACACAGTAGATAAGTAGGCATAATTTGTAGTATTTTAGATATAGTGCCAAATAGTGCAATAAAAATCTAGTCTAAAAAAGTGTTTAACTATTTTAAAATCCTTTCTTAGCAGCAGAAAAAGCTAAATTTCTTATGGTAGGTATTTTAGTTTTCGAAAGTAAGTAACGGAAATCGTTTGTCAATCTACTTACTTAGAAAGTAAATCCTAGCATGGTCGAACGTTTAGAGAAGGGCTATGTATTTCGACCGGGATATAGGCACTTACAGGGCAGATATATGTACCATCCTCGACTGCATCCCACTTATCGGTGCGATTTTTTTTTTATCTCCAACGAGGAAGCTCTTGGCCTGTATCTCACCTGATGGTAAGTGATGATCAGGCCGAAGTTGGAAGCGAGCTTCACCCGGAATCCTCAACCACAGAGGAACTGGCTATCTTACCTCTAACTGCCGGAACACAACAATGCTGTTAACATTGTTGTTATGGCGACAGACTTAGGTAAGATGGTGGTAGCTAGCCAGGCGGACTTGGAACAAGCCCTACCACCAACCAAACCGAACAGAAAATTCTGCCCCCACTGGGAATCGAACCCGGGACCTCTGCGTCTGAAGCGGGTGGTCTAACCACTAGACCACAGAGGCGGGATTGTGGTCGAATACCTGCCGTGTTATGCATAAAAAAAAGATGACAAACGTACTGGTCGTACTCCCTTGGTCATCACGGACTGTCATGCAGCAGAAGTGCCGGGAGATTTTCCCGTCACGCCAGCCTCAATGACATCATACGCAGGTCTCTTTCTAGCGCTTCCGTACCGGCCATTCTTGAACCAAATGGCCTGGTTCGAAGTGATGGTAAGAGACCTGATGGTATGACTTTGGTTCCATGGAAGGTGGGACGGCCACTAGTGTGGGATGCAACCTGCGTAGACACACTGGCATCGTCTCATCTTCCGCAAACCTCGTCTGGGGCTGGTACTGCCGCTGCATCAGCGGAATCCCTCAAGCGACGCAAATATGTAGGTCTTAGTAGTACCTACATGTTTGAGCCATTTGGGGTCGAGACGCTAGGTCCGTGGGGACCAAGTGCTCATCGCCTGTACAGGGAATTAGCCAAGCGGCTGATTGACTGTACAGGTGATAGAAGAGCTGGCGCATTTCTTGGCTAACGAATCAGTTTGGCCATTCAGCGCGGAAATGCAGCCAGCATTCTGGGCACCATGTCGCGTTGTTTGGACAGCGATTTGGGACATATTTTTTATTTGTAAATATTTAATTTTAGTCTATGTAGGTTAATTATTTGTATTATTCTTAATCTCTTAATTCTATACTTTTAATAAACCACTACTGGTCTATAGTATCGATAATTTAACTCAAATTCATAAAAAAATACGTCTTAAGATAAGGGCTATTGATTACATAGCCCCAATAAAACATTGTTAAAGTTTTCTTAACACTTTATTGAAAGTAGTAAGGACACTTCTAAACATGAAACACTGCGATACACATTTTGAGCCTCGTTAATCAGACAACCATTTCAATATTAATATTACTACAGACAAAATTGATTTAATATACATAAAAATATATTTAAGGCAAACTTGGACGAAATAGATTTTTAGATAACACCATCAATTTAAATTCTACCCGTTACATTATACCAATTTTTTTTTAACCATGGCGCTGCGCGCTGTGGGCAGATATGTACGCATAGATACTACAACCCCAGATTCGATTCCCGTTCGGGTCAGTTAATTAACTAATATTTCTACTGTAACTCTGACTCTGAAGGAAGATACCCACGGCACTTCACTGTAGAGCTACATACTTCAAGACAGTACCGTTTCTACATGGTATTCTTTAACATAACATAGTATCATTAAAACATACAAAAATCTTTAGTTATGTTCGCGTTCAATCAAAACGACTTTGTCTAAGGTACGATTACACATACGCTAAACACTAAAACCTACAATTTATTACAAATATTTTTAAATGACTAGATTTGAGGTCAATTCTACCAAAATCAATATGGCGCGTATTTTTATATGACACCTTAGTTTAACTTTAACCAAACTTTAGAAACCTTTGTGCCGACTAACTTGGGGCGCGAATTTTCACTTCTAATTTTTGCACTTTTGACCACATTTTTTGCATAGGTACCAACCAATTCTTTCGTCAAAAATTTAGTTTTTCGTTAGAATTTTTCCTTTATATTAGAAACACTAAAATAGTCAGTTGAGTTGTCGAATAATTTGGGCAAGCGGCTGAAGATTCCGTAAGTAACTTTACTTTGTTACATACTTATTGTAACACAAAAATTCTATTTTCATTAAAGTAGGTACCTAAACTTGTACATAAATGTTTGTCATTCGTACATATTTATTAGTTTGATATAACGATTGATAAATAAGGGTACTTACATTATTTAAACTTTAGGTAGGTACCACTGTACTATGCTGTTAATTTTTACATTAAGACACTCATGGACGGAAGATTCATTAGTACTAATAATTTAACATATCAACATTTTATTTTTTGTTTATACATAAAACCCATACATACATATTTTTGTGCAAATTTTTAATACATTGTCTAACACTCAATACTTGAATGAAATCAATGAATATCAATAATTTAAAATATAATTATTGACAAATTACACTTTGTGCTGAGCAAAAATTACCCAATTGCAGTAAAGACCGCTTTTCGTAATACTGGACGGATTATCTGATAACATTTTTCATACATTTAATTTGAAATTCAATAGAAATTTTCATTTTCAGACTAGATATTTATTTCGAAATTCTCTTTTATGATTTACCTACTCATAAAGTATGTAGGTATAATAAGGGTGGGGTAGTCATATTTTTTTGTATTTAAATCTCGTTCCCATTTAAATTGACAGAAAATTTCTATTGAAAACCGTTTTATATAACACGCTAAAGTACTAATAAAATAAATAAATTCTTATCTAATTGCTACACAAAATAATTAACTTTGTACAATATAATACTGAGCGGTAAAGTCAATGATGTAAGATCTACATACATTAATTTAATTCTTATTAAACTAACACATTTTTTTTAAATATGAGCGTTTATACGAATTTTCGAATATGTTTTTAAAGAAATACTGCTGGAAAACACAAATTTCAAATTATTTATTCTTTGGGTATTTAGTTTATTAATCCCATTTTAGTTTATTATTACTGTGAAAGAAGAAGAAAAGACTTTCATTTTGTAAATAAAATATTTTTTCAAATAATACTGTTATTTATGTTAACTTGCTTTTGAATTTTGAGCCATTTTATTGAGCAAAATGTAACAATAACGAAGTATTTAATACTGTTACAATAAACGCCCTTAAATTATACTAAATAGTGCACAAACTCCTATCGCCTTAAACTCTACTAAAATAACAAAAATAAATTAATATTAATTTACGTTACATCTTTCGCATTTTGTGACTAGACTATTCGGTTACTATAATACACTTAAGAATTATAAAAATAAACGTTGTAAATGATACTACGAAACAGATTCACAAACTATGTTTTATAATGTTACTCGTTAGTTATTTATTACAATAGAAATTCAGTATTCGGTATCGGTTTTTTTCTTTGTGCTCTAACTATTGATGTAAGTAAACAATGCTACAATTTACTGATTGTTAAAAACAGAAACCCTAAGTTTATGAGGATATTACAAATACCTACTCGTTTAACGTTAGATACTAATAGTTTTGTCTCTATCTGTAGTCCTACACATTTATCAATCATGCAAAAAACTAGGAAATCACAAACTTACTTGAAACACGAATCCAGGTAGTTGTCCAACATATCCAGCTGCAGGTCATCCCAGTCCGTAGGGTTGAGGAGGAGAGAGGACAGGTCATCTTCAGGTATCAGGGGCGAAGGAGCGACAGGCTCCACAATCACATTTGCCCCTATATTGGTTTCCAAGTCTATATTCGATATGGACTGGATGCTTCCTAGGTTAAAATCCGGTAGATGCAAGGTGACAGAATTGTCCACGTCGGTTACCATCGCCTCGACTATTTCTATTGTCTTAGCCTGAGGTATATTCGCTACGGCGATTCCGTCTTCATTGGGCGTTTCTTTTGGTCCTGCAGCTGCGTTGGACTTCTTCTTCTTATGTGGTCGGTTTGATATGCGCTTTGTGCCTTCCAAGTGCCCAAGATCCAGCTTCCAAAAGCCGCCCTTGCCTGGCTCATGTTTGGAGCGAGCCACTTTCACGAACACTTTGTTCAGCGATAAGTTATGCCTGATTGAATTCTGAAAAGAAATGTTCTTTCTTAGATTTATTTGTTTCCTACACAACTAAATATACACTTGATTTGTTAGGTCTGCTTGAGTCATTTTCTATTGTGTCGAATGTTTACATAACGTTAATTCAAATGAGTTTTTTCCATCAATAGGTATTTTCCTTTAGCTAGAATTCGAAGGTGAATCATCTACGTAGCTAATCAAATATTAATATCACTCATGTCCTATCAATCCGCGCTACTCAACCGTATCCAATTAGTTTTTATCGCGTAATGTAAACAAATTGAACGCTTAATAAATCTATCGGGGTTTCCCTACTCACTACCGCACGGTTGCAATGATAACACTCACTCACCTGCCAAGTGGGGTCTGCGTTCCTGTAGTACTTGAAATTTTCCCTTATCCAAGAATATATCGCCGAAAGTGTCATCTTGTCGTTGTTATACCTCATCGCCATGCAAATGAGCGTGCTGTAGGAATACGGCGGCTTCTTCTCACTATTGTTTTGATACTCGTGCTTGTTCTCCGTAAAGTCCTTCTGGCACTTCGCTATCGTTTGATTGAACTTCTGCAGCCTCGTGTTTTGCGGTGGAACTTTCACAGGGGGACTCGGCGACACCGGCGGAATAGGGAACTGAGGAATTGACATAATATTTGTTATATTTTGAAGCCATGTCAGGTTCGTCAGATCAGTTTCACTGTCTTCGATCGGTGGCTTCTCGGGCTTGTGTTTCGTTCGAATCTTTTTCAAAGATTCATCTTGATCTGCAGGTTTCGCAGCAGCCGTTTCGATTTGAGGCAAGTTTAAATCTGTTGCGAGGTCATTTTGAGCGTAGGCTTCTGGTTGTTCGTACACGTATTCAATTTCAACGGTGTGCGAGGACTCGGGCACCGCGTGATCCGCTGCGAAGTAAGTCACGCCGCATTGATCCCCCGCATCTCCGTAGAAATTCAGCGCAGATGTGTCCAGCATTTCGCCGGACGCCGGCGACAGTCCTGACGTTATATGCATGGTGTGTCACTACATCGCTCGTCGGCCCTGGAATTGCGACAAAGAAATTGATGAGTCATTATTGGGTCGTTTCTTTGATCGGGTGGTGTTGAAGTGATTGCTTTATGATTTTTTTATGATTTTTTGATGGTGGGGTAAGTTTTTTGGGGAATAAATGGATTGGTACCTGAAGAAGATGAGGAGCTTTGAGTGGTGTAGTCCAAGATGCCGGACGGCGATCGATCGCGGACGGAGTGACGTCGCGGCGGTCAGCGCGCCCCTCCCTCGCTGCGTGTGGTGGTGGCGGCGGCGCGCGCGGTTGTGGCAGGTGCGAGTCCCCATTGTGTTCCACGTCGAACAGGTGTGTGCCGAGCGATCGATATTTTTCCGCCCGCAAGAAAACCGCCCGCATCGGCGACGATAGCTCCGGACAATTAGTCACGGCTATCTCAACGCCCGTTATCGGAGTCTTCGACCCTGCGGGTACTTCCTTTGAGTAACATGTCTGAATATTCGCTTCGAGTACTTACGTAAGCATTTGGCAATTGGCGCCCTTCAGGCACGAGTGGTGGCGTCCGATACTTGTTTTCATAGCCACCCCACTGTTTGCCTTTACTCGATAATGACAGAATGTCGTGGAGGGGTTGGGTTCGTTGTCGATTAATGAAATTTACACCGAAAAGTTCACTGGCAGTGAACTCCTATCCAATGTTTCGTCCTAAACAAAGGTCTTTATTCTCTCTATCGACATTCACTAAACCACAAAAAGAAATTGAAACCATTCTGGTTTCATGATACATCTGCCATTGGTTTACTATATTTTCATTATTCAGTGAAAAACAAACTTAGTTTTCTACGTAAGCCGTGAGTCATATGACCCATGAAGAAAATTCTTCGAATTCGACAGTTACCTACCTACGTACTTAGTATGTAATGATTTTAGGACAACGTTAACTCAGACGATACGAATAAGTTATTGACTTACCTACGAGTACTTAGGTACAATATTGACCGCCTTAGATCCAAGGGCCCAAATAAAGTTAAATCGAAGAGACGTTGACCCGGGCTTTTGCCCAATCACATAAAGGTCAATCCGGAGGTTGTTGAGCTCGGCCGTCAAAATAAACTGGATGGAGAATTGGAAATGTGTCCATATGGGTAACGTGATAAACCGCGTTTTCCTTTACCAAGTTCATCAACCCCCGTTTTTATGTTCGTAAAATATTTACAGATTTTTTTGACTACTTACGCCTAAACCAGAACCAAGTTTGATAAGTTTAAAAGATAGATTAGACATTGGAGAAGGACTTAGGCTACCTTTTGTCACAAAAATAAAACTTCAAGGGCAAGGGGGTGAAACTTGTAGGTATGTAGAGGATACGAGTTTAAATAAAAGTCACATCTTTTGGGCGGGAAATGCGCGTGAATAAGACTCTTTGTGGCTGACCGAAAACCAAGCAAGCTAAACTGCGAATAAAGCTAGTATTAATAAAGACCAGTATCCCTAAAAACCACCGATTTATAATTCCCCCGGGCGTGCAATATTGCAATGAGAGGGACTGGGCGCCGGGACAGGCTGGCACGTTCCGCTACGCTACGCAGCACCTTGCAGTATGGTGGATAGGGGTTGCTCGAAACCGTTGAGAGCTAATAGGAATAGCTTCTCAGGGTCCTAGTAGAAATGAGTAAATTGTTTTAATTTATCGCACTAATAACCCTAAATATGACAGACAACTCCGAATAAAAAAAAATGTGCGATGAGTAAATTGCTCGCCAAATTCGAACCCGAAACCACGATGGCGTTGTAGTCTGGTATGCGAATCACTAGGTCAGTTGGTAGGTGTTGTTCATAAATAAAGAAAAATGTTTAATATATTTTTATAGGTATGCTTACTTAATTAGCTTAACACAAGATGACCTGATAATCCAATAATAAGTTTCTGAATGTAGGTAATGAAAGTACAATATTTATTTCTTTGCACCCAAATATTTCTGCATAACCCATAAGGAGTAGGCAGCCTGTTTGAAATAGGTACCCTTTTAATTGCGCTTTCTATGGGAATGTCAAAGCTGTTGTATTGTATTGACCTCTCGTTTCCGGCTTCGGGCATATAATTATTTGCGAATTATTGCCTTACTTAAGTCCGCTTGCCTTTTAAGGAAATTCTAGATTTTGTATGATTTTGGGACTTTCTTTCTTGATACTTGCAAATGTTGGCCATTGGTAAAGTTTACTCAAAACTAAGTTCTTTAGTTAGAGGATTCAAATGTTTGCAATGTTGCCAAAGTTTATTGGTGACATAGGTATGTCAGTAGGTAGGTACCTACTCATGATTCCCCGTGACTCCCTCTAGCCATAAGACAATGTAGAGTAGGAGATGGTATCATTCGATTTTATCCGCTGTTTCAAAAAAGCGACTATCGAATCTCACATTACCGTAGGTACCTCTAACATGAACAACTTTCGTCTTCGAATCGTTTGCGTATTCGTCAAAATTCCATACTCAATCTTCGATAACGTGACAATTTTGAAATAAGTTGCATGCAAGCAGTTCTCATACTTAGTTCACAAGGGCGCTGTTGTAGTTTTCGTACTATATCAACAGATTAAAACCAAATGACTGACTTTGACCACCTCGTAAATGAAATCCCGTATTATGTTCCCGATCCCCCAAACAACTTAACGCGCTGATATCGTAGCACTTAACTTTAATCGTGCTAATCGTAGCTTAGTTTCACGGTAACTTGAGTCGCCCTCGCTTAACGGTCCCCTAGGACAGTGCGCTACCCGTGATCGACGTTACAGCATATGTCGTACGCACCTGTGGGGTGGATGGATGTGTAAAGTAAAATGTCGTAAATGCCGCAAGAATACTACGTTAGCTTTTACTCGTGGCTCCACCCGCGTGGATATCGGTCCTGAAGTCACATTTGACAGTCGTCGCGTAGCCACTGCACACGCACACAGCTGTTAAATTATATAGAACTGTCACGGCACACCGCTCTCATGCAGCTGTTGTTAGGAACTTAGTTATCTAACAAATATAGGTTTCTTATTAACTGACTATTTATCTGCCAATATCTTTATCCGAAACAAATTCTATCAGACATATTATTATTCAATATTCTATCAGGAACATTATCAGCAGTACTAATACACACCATTTGTTTTTTCAATTACTACTTACCCAGTGGCGCTTACTACGCTTTGCTTTCAAGCGCCCAAGAGTAGGGGTAAGTGCACGTAGCAATCAAACGACCGAGTAGCTTTTATTTATATTGTTTTATTGGCAGCGGGGTAGCAATCGTGGACATGTTCACTAGCAATTTGTTTGGACGTAATTAGTTCAAAATTAATGGGTATAAGGTTGGGTTTGAACTAAATTGAGCAGAAAATTTTATGGAGCTTCGCTGGGGATGTGAATTTGATAAATACATAAACTACTGTCACAGATGGTACACTTTTGTATCCAATAAAAAAATGTTTGAGAGATTCGTAGAATGATTTGAGTCAGTTCCTCCCCCAGTGCTGCGAAACAACCTTATTCAACACGACTTTTAGGGTTTAATATCAAATAATATGGAATATTATTCGTATGTGAGTATTTCTCAAAAAAAATGTACATTTTGAAAAAAAAAAGTGTGCTTTGAAACAANTAATGATTGGGTTTGTGTATGGCAAAATGTGTCAAATTTCGCGGAGAATATTTTAAAAAGCAATAAATACATTTTTAAATAGTAATGTTGTTTCACTTCCTTGATTCCCGAAATTTTCAGTGCCGCCCTCGTAAAATATCAAAAGACCTACAGTAACATATTTTAACCCTTAAAAGTTATCGCCACTTTTAACGAAAAAAAACACAAAAATGTGAATATCTCGCAACTTTGGTTTTGTCAGTTATTTAATTCTGCCACGACGGTGACGATATTCTAAAACTGGTTACTGACCCTGAAAGTGCTTCACGAGTTCTATCCAACGATACCAATAATAGGTTACAAAATAAACTGGATCCATCCGAAAATTCAATGCTTCCATACATTTAGTACAGCTACAGTCATGGCACTCTTGTCTTGATAATATTATAGCAAGTAAATTTTTAGGATTCCAAGAATAATTTTAAAAAGAATGCAATTACGAGTTCATTTTAAGTGTTTATTATTTAATTAAAAAAGAAATACTTTTAATATTGTTTGGCTGGCATACATTTAGTATGAAGTAGTATCTTACTTATCGTTTCCACCCTGTATTATTAATAGTATTACAGTACTTATTATTATTCTGTGGTTCCTTAGGAAATAGTCGTGCACAAACTCTTGGTTCTCGTCCAGCCAGGCTTCAGTGCGGGCACACTCGGCGTCGTAGCAGGCGGGCGCGGGCATGCCTTAGTTAAAACGAACAAAAGGCCCTAAAAATTTAATGAAAAATGGACCTTGTTACCTTAGGAAATAGTCGTGCACAAACTCTTGGTTCTCGTCCAGCCAGGCTTCAGTGCGGGCACACTTGGCGTCGTAGCAGGCGGGCACGGGCATGTCTTAGTTAAAACGAACAAAAGGCCCTAAAAATTTAATGAAAAATGGACCTTGTTACCTTAGGAAATAGTCGTGCACAAACTCTTGGTTCTCGTCCAGCCAGGCTTCAGTGCGGGCACACTCGGCGTCGTAGCAGGCGGGCACGGGCATGCCGCCGCCCGCGCCGCCCGCCGGCTCCTCTATGCTCCGCAACTGTAGACCTGTAACAAGGGAGAGGCAGTTTAGTATGATGATCTGAAGCAAACGAAAATTGGATCATCATCATCATCATCTCAGCCATAGGACGTCCACTGCTGAACATAGGCCTCCAATTGCTTTCCATGTTACCCAGTTTGTAGCGGCCTGCGTCCAGCGCTTTTCTGCTACCTTTATAATGTCGTCGGTCTATCGTGTGGAAATTGTGAGAAAATTGGATATTTGACACCAATAGTTTATGGAAACATTAAACTAAAGGATTTTTGCAGATTTGTAGCAAGATAGAAATCATTCCGAGGAAACACTCAAACTGAAGGTTCTTTGTAGATGCAGCAAGAGAGAAAATGTTTAGAATGTTGATCTGCAACTTTTCCTGCAACTTAACCTTCGTTATCTCTTAGTTCACCTAAAAAGTTTTGCCCAACATGAATCTGAATATTTTGAGTATTTTTTTTTCGATTCTGAGGTGGACACCCATATGTAGGTATGATTAACTAAGAATAACAACATAAGGTATGTTCATTAAGTTGGAGGTATAAAGCCAGTTTCTTTAAAATTGTAGACACCAAGAGAAGCTCACGTTCACCTTCGTCCTGAATACCAATTTCCCTCACTCAATAATTTTACCTGGTACTTTGTCCCACCAATTGCAACAACCGCAAAATTTAAAAGCCATTTAACTCCTACAAATGCAATGCAAATATTTGTTTCACTCAATAAACACACGTGTGCAAAACTATTTATTTGTGAAAGCAAACAATATCACGGAACTGTCACAAAACACCTCGTTCACGTTGTGTCAATGTCATGGAAATTAAAAACAAATGTGACAGATTTGTTTAAATAGTCTTTATTAACGATAAGTTACAATGTG